CCCCAAAACCCCAAAACCCCGTCATATCATATTAGCAAAAACATTAATAATAATTTGCTAATAAAATATCAAATATATAAAATTAATATAGAGATTTGAGAGCATTAATGGGAAATAAAAGTGCCAAGTCCAGAAAAAATACTGTGAATTTAGATAACTTGCCTGGTTAAACTTAAGAATTTAGCAGACCTTCAACAGATAAAATTTTCCATCCATAGGTTGAGAAATTTTTTAAGGAATGGAAAGAGTAAAAGCATGTAGAATTCTAAGAACTACTTAGTGGTACTATCTCAACAAACAATATGAGCGATAGATTTAGCGATAGATCATCTGTAAGGGACAAGAAAAGCTGCTGCTCTAAAAATAATATGAGAAATGTAAGTCAATATTTATTTGATTATCCTAACTGATTAGAACTGGCTATCTGAATTCAAAGAGAAAATAAGCCTAAACTAAGACCTTAAGAATAGAGATGATTACCTAAAGTTTATTGATTTATTGAAGAGATTGTCTCGAGATACAGAGCAGAGATATTTCAAGGAGTATGTTGGAAGTATCAATTTAGACAAAAATCTAAGATTGCTTTCTAAGCTTGATAATAAGAGCTTTGATGAAAAAGCTATTAAAAAGAAGCTTAAATCGTCGAGATCAGATAACATTCATTTAAGCTCTACAAATAATATACTTTCAACTGGATTTAATTCATCCTTACAGCTAGATTTATAATAGCTGCAACTATTAAAACATCAATTAGAATTAAATGATCATCCCATTAAAAGGATCATTAATTTCATCAGAGGCATATTTATTTTACAATACAGAAATTTATTGTTAAACAATATCTCTGAATGTGATCTGATGGCTGAGGACAAGAATATCACTGAAAGTTTGAAATTTTTTATCAAGACTATTTCAGAAGCAATCAGTAAGTTTTACCTCCTAGATTTATATGAAACTAGTTAACTTTGGAAAGAAGTTCTATAAGTTATGGTAACTTAGTTACTAATCTAGAAAGATTTATATGCTCTTATTATCAATCTGATCACATTGAGTCATTAGAAAGAGATTGATGCTCTACACCATCTTATGAATAGTAAAACTCTGAAACTTTCAGATATAAAAATCGATAAGAAATTCTAGTTAAATATTCATGATAGAGAGCAAAATTTGGTGTGCATTGATGATGTTGGCTCAGGGCGAGAAAATAATCTAGTAGTATAAGAAGAAGAATAAGATTCTGTATTTCAACCATATTAAAGAACTATCAAGCTAATTAAACAGATAAAATTCCAATAGAGTATTCCTTAAAAGCTAGAGATTGCATATGAAGCTTTGAAGATATAACTGGGCCAGGATATAGATGATTTTTGGAATGGCTATAAACTCAAGTAAAACTAATCTTATAGAGCAAGCTAAAAGGCTTCTATGAAAGAAAAATACTTTTAATAACTAAGTGAAAGAGTATCATAGACATAAGCACTTCTAAATTAAAGAAATAGTCCTAAGTAATCAAATCATGTAGACTTCGAAAAACTTCAATAGCTGGCCTTATATGTAGTATGGGCTAGTAATTGCCCTGAAATTTACTCTGATTGCTTATTTATTAAGAGATTCAATAATCAAACTTTAAATCATAGTATGAGAGGATTTTTCGCCAGATTGCTTGATGCTTGTGTTAATGTAATGCTTAACTCTGGAAGTAATATTGGTTCTACAGAGGAGATAGATGACCAGTAAGTATTAGAACTTTCAGTCTAAGATATTGAGAATCTATAAAATTCTCTACTTTAGAAAGAGAGATTAATGCCTTTATTTGATATTAATTTCATGACTTAAACATTACTACCATCATTCCAAAAAAATTAAACCTCAGTAAGTACTAAAAACAGATTAAGCAAAAGGAGAGATTCCATTACAAGCTTAATGACTCAGGCTAATAGTCCTGATTAACAGTTGGAGATAGCACTTGAATTCGAGAAACTCATTTTTTGTCAAGCCTAATTTATCTACGAAAGTGAGAGCAGATAAGTCTCTAGAAACCTAGAAGAGCAAAAGTATACTATGCTTCAAAAAAAGACTACTGTATTATGCTCATCTGACGAATCTTTCATTAGCACAGTTAAAAATTTGAGGAATAAACTTGTGGAAAATCAGATACCTGTTGTGCAATAAGTTTATAATTTTACTGGATCTAGCTTTGCTGAAGTAGAAGATAATGGCAATGAGGGCAAGAATTCATTATAAGGAATGAGAATAAACATTGACAATGTTGATTTCGATGATTAGTATAGGAATTCACTCCCAACCCAATGATTCAATCTAAAGCCGAATATTAATGAGATAATTAATCATTATTATTATTTCTATGATAAAGTCTTAATCTATTATGAATTACAACATGTATTTTACTTAATTGAATTTAAACAAATTTCTTTCATTCAATCATTAAGGGGTTTTGGGGTTTTGGGGTTTTGGGG